GTCTCCAAGGTGGGGGGGTATTTTTGAAATTTTCAGTTTCTTTAATAGCAATCGCTGGTAGTAATGCACGCATTTGTGAATTTTTTTCCTTGGGTCAGGAAATTTATTTGCTTGTATTGAAATTATCTTATTTGTTTGTTTTACAGCATAGGGTTTTCTTTAGTTGAAACGAGAATTTATATTTTATTTCCATGGGAGATCCTTAGTCATAATTCCATGGAAACTCTTTTTTTAGTAGCAAGAACTGGGTTTTTTTTAACTTTTCAGAAACCAAGTGTTTTTTAATTTCTGATTGTATCTTGAAATTTTTAAATTTTTTCAAAAATATTCTTAAAATGTAAAAATAAATAGGATTTGCATATAGCCGGAAGAAAACTGAGGTCACAAACAAAATAGCAGCAATAGTGACAGACTGACAGCAAGAGCAGTATCTGTAGTCTTGCAGCGATAGCGATTCTTTGAACATCCCGCTGTAAAACACATACATGTTTCTTGCTTGGTGGGACAGAAACTGCAGCAAGCCCTCCTTCATTTCATACCACGAAGCTTCGAGCGTACGTGCACGGAGTTTCCTCCCAATGCCTGTGTTCCATACAGTCCATTCACATTCGTCATCATTCAGATCAAATATTGCCACACTTCCATCAATACCCAGACAATAGTATGATCCCTTGTATAAAACAGGATTAGAAAAAGACATTCGAGACGTGACTCACCCTCAACTTCTCCAGTTTTTTCCACGTTTATATCAAAACATGACGTTGCAACAACTATCAATTTGAGGGGGGTTGACATTGTCTAAAACATTTTATAAGGTCCCCAAATTTTTTAAAAAACTCAATTTGATCCCAAAGTTTACAATTTTCACATTTTATAAACTAAAATAGATGGGCATTCCATTGTAATGCACACATTGTTCACCAAGACACGAAACACTATGAATTACATTCTTTAAAAGTTCGTTTTAATAGCTAAAATATTCACAAAAGTTCAATTTGATTCCTAAGAATTTTTTTTATCCTGTATTTTTAGTTTTTTTATCTTTTAATACTAAAATTTTATTTCCTTACTTTTCAGTTCCTGGACATTGAGTGGGGAGAGAGAAGTAGCTGAAAAAAAGCAAGGAGAGAAAGATTCTGAATAGTCAAACAAAAATACTGATTTTGGTGTTAATGATTTGATCTTGAAAAAATAAGTTCAATGAAGATGATTTTATTTCTTAACCAATGTTATTAAAAATAAAAAAAGGTTAATAAAGTATACATACACGCTAATTAGAAGGTGTTTTCATATTGAAATTGAGTTAGTGAGATTAGTTTAATAGTGGATGTGGCTTGATAAAGTGCATTCAAATATCTTATGGTTCAAGTATTAAAAGCAAAATAAAAAATGTGGGTGTCAGTCTAAGTTAAAAAATCTATAAATATAATATTGTATTTTATCTTTGTTTTTAAGAAGTTTTATAAATAGATAAATAAATAAATTCATGTTTTGGGATATGGTGGTACTTGCGCTGAATTAAGCTGAGTTGCATGATGTTAAAAAATGCTTTGACTAGATAAAATACTATTTGCTTGCATGTTAATTTTTCAATGGAATTCAAAACTATTCATTTAAATACAAGACCAAATAAATCATAAATATTTTTAATTAATAATCAATTCTTTTTATGTCGATACTCTATGTTATCATCGATGTAAATGTTAAAGTCACTCAATATTTCATTTTATGTGTGTTTTATAATTAATTTACATATATGATATAATTAAATATTTTTCAAATATCCTTTGCAAATACATTTTATGTTAATGAACATTTCGTTAAATTACTCAAATAACAACATATTTATTACCTTGTTTTATAATCTTACTTGTGGAACAGATCCATGATTTAAAATGTAAATCCAATTAAAACAACAACATATTTATTACCTTTTTTTTCTTATTATAATTTTCTATCCCTAAAATTTCACACATTTTATTTAAAATAACAACAGTTCAAGTGAAATGACATGGTCCTGTTGTCTAAAATGTAAGAGATAAAGTTTACTTTAAATAGATAGATTTGCATGAAATTTTAATCGCCATTGTTTAGATTAAAATTAATTAACTTATTGCAATAGATAGTTTAATATGATCACTAGCAACATAATCTAAATTTTTTTTTTTACATTTCAAGTGCTTAAGCAAGTATGGATATTAAACAATTTGTTTATATAAAGCACTTGAAATGTAAAAAAAAAAAATGTAGATTATGTTACTATTAAAAATTATATCTTTTGTTTTTAAGACTTTAGAACTCTTTACTTAGGGCATACAGATTAAATGTAATAAGCTTCATAGAATATCAACAACATCACCTATTAATCAAAGTCTATAAACTTAGAAAAACAAACCAGGAAATATCTCAATGAAAAAAGTTGAACCTAAACTTTAGAATGGTTGAAGAAACATGAAATATAAAATACTAGAAAAATAAAGGAGAAGAAGGGGAAAAAAAATGTTTGGTGTACAAAACAACTCCTCTTCTACCTCTTTTCATATTGATTTTTAGAAATAAAAATAATAAAAAAAATAATTTTATAATTAACTCCTACCATTTTTTTTCTTAATTATCCACCATAAGAAAAATAAAAATCTAACAATTTTTTGTCTTAAAAATAAGTTGTTTTCCATTTTAAAATAAATTTTTTCGTATATAAAAAGGGTATTGTTAAGACTATTTAATCATAAGTTGATAAAGAATATTTCTTTATAGATCTAAAATGCAAAATATAAAGTTTAGTTTAACTAGATGGATTTGCATAAAATTTTAATTTCAATTATTTAGGTTAAAATTAATTAATTTATTGCAATAGATTGTTTAATATGATCATTAACAACTTGATAACATATAAATAGCCTTAAGGTCTTAAACTTACAAATAAAAAAACAATGTCTTAAATAGGTTGTTTAGTATACTTACTTATTGAAGCAATTAATATGTAAAGAGTTACAAATTATATTGTTCTCTAGGATTGTATCATTTATCTATAAAATTTTAAATTATTTTATGTAAACTAATTGAATGTGATCATTCTTTTATAAACACCACCACCTTAAATAGATATGCTACTAATCTAGGTCTATGAACTTAGAAGGAAAAGAAACTAAAAAATCTCTATACAAAAATACTTGAACCTAATCTCTAGAATGGTTAAAGAAACATGTAATAGAAAATAATTGAGAAAATAGAGAAGAAAAAGGTAGAACCATTGCTGCTTAATAAACAAAACATATCTCATTTAACCCTATTTTTTTTTTATAAAAAAACCAAAACTAATGTAAAATTAATTATAGTAATTAATATAATTAATTTCTGTTATTTTTCTTTAATTATCTTTCATAAAAAAATAATAAAAACCTGCAATTTCTTCACCTTTAAAACTAGATTTTTTTTCTTTCTAAAAATAAATTATTTAGACAGAGAAATGTTACTATTTAGAATATTCAATTATAAGGAGAAACATAATGATTCTTTATAGTTCAAAAAATCATTTTACTATAAATCCAAACCCAAATCTAACTCCACCCAACTCAAGTTTAGATCCATATCATGTCGAGCACTAGCAAATAATTTAAACCAAAAACCTACTCAATCTAGGGTATTTTTTTGCTAAAAGTTTTGATGTTACATGAATGTAATTTCAACTGTTTAACTTTTTATTATATAAGCCTTGAAAATCTTTAGTAACAATTGAAATATAATCATAATATTATAAATAAGTTAATATTTTTTTTTGATTTTTTTTTTGCACGAGTTAATGAAGATGTAAAGTCTCAACTTATAAACTCCAAGAAGTAAACTGTATTTAAAAATAAAAATAAAGACAAAGATTAAAAAAATAGGCAAACTACTAGAGCTTATTTAATTATCCCTGATTTTTATTTTTATTTTTAATTTTAGAGTTCTTAACCTAAGAAAAATCCTAAGCAATTAGTATTAAAAACTAAATGATTTGAAATAAAGATAGAAAAGGTTTTCTTTCAGTTAAAACTCCATTATCCAATTAATAACATCTCAAATATAATTTTATTTATTTAATCATAATTAATTTTTTAAACTATAAGATTTAAAAAAAAAAATGAAAAAGAGCTCTATTTGCTAATATCATAACCTCATTTGACAACAAACTCAAAACAAAAATGATATTTAATGGAATAATTTCATAAAAAATAATGTAAGTTATTTGATTTAAATGAACTTTAATGAAAAAAAAAAGGTCCTTAAACAAAAAAATGCTATGAGTTTGGGCTAAGGTTTTTTTTTTTTCTATGTTAGGTGTCGTCCTCCCAACTTTATTAAAAAAAAAAAACAATATGAGGTGGCATGTAATCTCTGATTTAGTTAATAAATTTTTGATTTTTTGAAAAAAATTATATTATTTTTTAATTTAAAAACATATAACAAACACTTTAAAGACCTAAATTAAATAATTTATGACCTTAAATTAAGAAAAAAGTTAAAAAATAAAAAAATCAATGATCTATTCTTTAATAAAATAAAATAAAAAAGCTTTAATGAAATTACTTTCATTGAAATAAACTTGTTGAATAATATTGATTTTTTTTTATCTCTAGAATCGAGCTATTGGACATGGTTTTTTATCTTGTTTTGTTTTTTAATAATTTTTTTTCATATCTTAAACTTAAAAGGTAAAACATTAATAAGATAAAATTTAGATAAAAAAACTAAAATCTTGAAAACTAAAAGGATTATAAAGAAATTTAAAGGAAAATAGGTGGATAAAAGTGGAAATTGCTCACTTGGTTTCTTTCTCTGTGTTATATGCTTTCATCCACTGTTTTATAATTGTATTTTCGTATAACAAAGTGTAAAAAACTTGTCATAAAAATTGCCATAAAAAAAGATGCAATAAAAAAATATTAAGACTTGACACTGCTCAAACACTCAATTTTTTTTTTTTTTTAAAACCAGTAAGTACCGCAACCAAGACGCCACGGTCACTAACACAATTTAAAACGACATCGAATTCGTAAATCCCCAGCAAAAAAAGCTCAAATCAACACGCCCTCCCTCCTATCGTGGCACCATGGACAGCAAGAGGAGGAAAACGTTGTCGTCCTCTCGAAGAAGTAGAAAATCCTACGACTCTGAGTCCGGCTCGGAGTCCTTCTCTGATGACTCACGCGACTCATCACGGAGGAGGAGCTCCGGCAAGCGTCGGGAACGTAGTCGTAGCCGCAGTCAAGGAAGAACTAATCGCCGGCACCGGACTTCGGATGATTCCAGCGACAGTGGTCGCGACCGGAAGAGGAAGAATAGCTCTTCGCGGAAGATTACTGAAGAAGAAATTGCAGAATATCTGGCCAAAAAAGCTCAGAGAAAGGTATTTATTTTATTTCCTTGATTTCTAGGTTTTTTTTTTTAGTTTTGATATTTAAGTCGTGCCTTTTCATAATTAATTTATTATTTTATTTAGGCTATGAAAGCAGCAAAGAAATTGAAGGCGCAGTCCGTGTCTGGTTATTCTAATGATTCTAATCCGTTTGGTGATTCTAATCTCAACGAAAAGTAAGGTTTTTTTTTAGCTTCCAACTGTATTGGTTTGTTATGATTTACTTGTTTGGGAAATCTGTATTCTTTTTTTGGAAAATGCATGAGTTAGGGTATGATTAGTTTTGATAGCTTTTGATTTTATAGGTAATTCAATTACAACAGTGAAATTGACTGAGGTTAATTTAAAGTGACTAATTTTTTAAACTACAGAGCACATGTCCTAATAATTTTGGCTGTTGTAATTCAGATTCATGATCATGTATCTGCGATGCTGGAAATTGATTTATATCCGTAACCTTTTGTACACGAAATGACTCCTTTAAGCATACGAGGGCTTAAGTGGCAGGGGGTGGAATGCTATTTTTCTCTCTGTACTGGTCTAGTTGATATGAGAGTGTTTGAAAGTAGATGTGCTGGATTGAGAAATGTGTGATGAGATACTTGGTGGGTGTTTGAGTCAATTTGCAGAAATAAAGAAGCACGAAAGAGAGAACTAGACACCCTTAGATTTACAGGATGTGTATCACTTGCCACAGTTTGCTGCTAGAGGGCTGTGATACTTTCATCTCACTTTGGGGATTTTAACCTAGTAAAATAATGAACTTCAGTTAATTAGTTAATTTTCAAGGGTTCCAAGCGGTTTGTTTTGATTACCTTCATATTTCTCCAATAAAATGCTTCATCTAATGAATCTAATCACACCAGCTATTACATCTTGTCTTAAATAGACATGGGCTTTCTATTTATTACTTGGGAAAAATCACAATACTCCTTTATGCATGTTTTCACTGACTTATGAGCCAAAACAACTTATGGAGTTAACTCAATTGCAGAATAGAGGCTTAAATCATTCCAGTTTGATTTTTATGTAATTGGGTTATGGTGGATGAGTTGCAGATTTGTGTGGCGGAAGAAAATCGAACGCGATGTTTCCCAAGGTGTGCCACTTGACATGTTTTCAGTTAAAGCTGAGAAAAAGAAACAGAGAGAAAGGATGGTATGCATTTATAGTTTATTTTACTTGTCAATTTGATTTTTTCCAAATTGATTTCTTCTTCTTTTGTTCTGCACTATGAAGTTTCTTGACTTTTATTCTTGTAAGGGTAGCAGTACCATCCTGTTGTTTCTTAAACAAATTTGATAAATGTGTTCTAGTATGGGTTTTAATGTTAGTGGTTGGGATTATCTAAATTCTACCACTTATATGGTAGAGATCAGAAGAAACTGGATCTGGAGACCTTATTATGCTCATACAGTTAAAACACCATGAGGAAAAACTAAATGGTAGTCACAGATGCATGTGGGTCGTTTCTTACCAGAAGAGGGGGGTCTGAACATTTTTAGCATTATTTGAAGAAGTGAAATACCTAGATAAGAGGAGATGATAGCAGAATGAATAAGGAGTTGGGGGAATGGAGGTATGAAGTCTATATCCCAATAGTCTGCTGATAAGTGAACCTCATAGCTTTATTGTATATTGGCCCAGTTGGAGCTTAGGTTACCAACCTTTTGTCCTTGCTGCTATGTCATGAATAATAACTCTTCCTAGAAACTTTGTTGAAGATGTTTGTCAGAGTTCACACATCATGTGGCACACTTTTATTTAAGCCAGTCTCCCTCTTTTTTTTTGGAACAAGAACTGAAGACTTTATTTGAAAAGAATAAAATCCAGAATGTTAGCAGTGAAGATGAAAGTTTCCTATAGTGAAGTATAACCAACAATGAAGAAAAATAATGACAAAACAGGTTTCCAATGCTGATGATAAGTATCTGTTAAAGAATCCCCTGTAAATGCCCTTTAAGCAGTATGCCATAAAGAGGTCAAAACTGTTATCCTACCCTGCTACAGTTACTTGGAAGGGGAATGATCTCTGAAAATTTTCAGTCATTCAATCAACAACCTTGTATGGAGACATCCACTATTCACAACACATAGAGAACACCTTTTTCTTGATCTCCTAAGTTCATGATAATGCAACAAAGGTAGGTGTGTGTCTTTCCACATTTCTATGCATGAAAGTTGGGGGAGATGGTCTTATAAGGCCTCAAATCCATAGTGTTAACCTTCCTGAGTACTGTTACCTGAATAAAATTTTTGCCTTGGATAGCACCTAAGTTCATGCAGATATAGTTGGTTAAGCGGGGTTTGAGTGGAGTGAGGGGTCTGAGTTAGATGGGAATGGAAATATACACAAGAAAAGGCCTTGACCCTTCTAGAATCCACACCTTATGTCTGATTTTGAAGAGAAACTTCAGGACTTAAGATTAAAAGAATTTGTGGGTCATGCAAGCGTCTTAGGATAAGCCAAGCAGATGCTTCCAGAAATCTATGTATTAAAACCTGTAGTTGAAAAAAAGAAGCTATTGTTTCCATGAACATTATGATTTTTACTTTCTAGACAGGCCATTGATTAGGAATACTAATGTGTTTCCATTGAACACAATCCATCAACAGGATCAGGGGAAACCTGTTAATTTTTGACAAATTGTGAATGATTTCTTTTGGTGGTTAAGTGATGAAAATCCAATCAAATTACAATTTAATGTAATGTAACATGTAATTTTCACTGTTAGATGTAATTTTCACTGTTAGATGAGGTTCCCATCTACCTGTTGATACCCTGTTATCGAATAAATGTTTTGTGCGACAACTTAATTGATCTTTCTAGAGGAAGTTTAACATAGAGCTTAGCAGAGCAATCGGTTGTTTTGGCAATTTTAAACTCTATGATGCCTGCTTTGGTCTGGAGTGTATTTTGGCTCTGAATCTTATGCCTCTCCAGTGAATGCCAGGATTTGAAATCATTTTTTAGTTAGTTGTAAAGAAGCACCTATATTTTTGTATCTTTTACAATATAAATTTTAGTTTCTTTTCTTTTTCAAGAAAGCAGAGGTAACTCTTTTGCTAGTTTAACTGATGGAATAGTTGAAGTCACTGTTGATGTGATCAATCATCTGATATCAACCTATATTTATTCACTTGTATGTTGCAGGCGGAGATTGAAAAGGTGAAAAAGAGAAGAGAGGAAAGGGCACTTGAAAAAGCACAGCATGAGGAAGAAATGGTAAAAGCTGGATTTCGTGATAAAGATAAAATTTTATTCGTAAAATCTGTGCCAGAAAGAGCATTAGATTGTTAACTTAATGTCAGCAAAGATGAAATTATTTTCTGATTTCTTTATTTGGTATTATTTAGATGTAGCTTGGTTCATAACTACAGATCACTTTCTGCAGGCAATCTTAGCCAGAGAACGTGCCAGGGCTGAATTCCAAGACTGGGAGAAAAAAGAAGAGGAGGTAAATTGTTAAGAGCATTTCATTTTTCGGTGCTCCTATTATTTTCATTAGTGCTTCATATTTTCTATCTGGGGAGTTAAATGATGTTATACATCTTCAATATGCAGTTTCATTTTGATCAAAGCAAAGTCAGGTCAGAGATTAGATTGCGTGAAGGGAGAGTGAAACCAATTGATGTCCTTTCCAAACACCTCAATGTCTCAGATGATTTGGATATAGAAATAGATGAACCATATATGGTTTTCAAGGTAAACGTTTAATATGTGGTTACTTTTCTTTTCTGCCTTGTTGCCATTTTTATTTTCTTTCATTAGTATGAACATCATAGGTGCAACAGTTTAGGTTTAAAATGATAGCTTGTGTTCTTCAGTGTTTTTCAATCAGAGAATATTTTAGATAAGAGAAATGAATGAATGTTGTTATATCTGACTACAGTTTTTTTTTTTTTATGAGTTTTTATGTGATTAATTCACCCTATATACTCAAATGTGTGACATCTTGATGTAAACATTTCCACTGCATTTGTCTGTTCCACTTGTAAATCCTTCTATATTCTGTGATTTGCAGTGAACAAGTGTTGAATATTTTCTTTTGAGTGCTCACACTGTCATTTGCCTATACGATGCAGGGTTTGACTGTCAAAGAGATGGAAGAGCTTCACGATGACATCAAAATGCATTTGGATATGGATAGAAAAACTCAGACACATATTGATTATTGGGAGGTACTGTTTTTTTTCCTTTCTATATTGCTGCTGTGGTTGTGAAAGAGAACCATATTTATGGTAGATGCCTTTCCAGCAGTTACTAAAACACCTTCATGAATTTTCCACTTTGCATACCTATGATGGCTTTATAATAGAATAAGAAAATTAGCTGTTGTTGGATGGAAGCAGTCAAACAGGCTTCATGTTGCTGCCCCTTTGGGATCACTCTCTCTCTCATTATTGGTTTGTACACATTCATGCGTAGAAGCTTGGTGTGCTTATTATTGCTTGTACTGATTTCTCGTGATCATTGATCATTAAGAGATATTATCTGAATATTTAGTTTCAGAAAAGGATGGAAACCTAGAAGACACTCTTTTGATATCTACAATTTAACAGGCTCTTTTGGTGGTTTGTAATTGGGAGCTGGCTGAAGCTCGGAAAAAGGATGCACTGGATCGGGCTAGGGTCCGTGGGGAGCAACCACCTTCCGAATTTCTTGCAGAAGAAAGAGGTCTGCATTCCAGTATTGAAGCAGATGTCAGGAATCTCTTGGAAGGGAAGACTTCAAATGAGCTTGAAGCATTAAGGTCCCAAATTGAGTCACAAATGAGCTCAGGCACAGCGAAAGTGGTTGAGTATTGGGAGGCTGTTCTTAAACGACTTCAGATATACAAGGCAAAGGTATTTATCTCCCAAAGCTCTTTAATTCTTATAAGTTATTTGCAATACAGGCATTGGGTCACACCAGTGAAATGCTGTGGTCACAGGCTTGTTTGAAGGAAATTCATGCTAAGATGTTACGCAAGCATTTGCAACGCCTTGAGCCTCCGTTGAAGGGTGATGATATGTTAGAAAATGATAACAGTTTAAGGTTTAGTGAGGAGGATATCGAGGATGAGGATACCCAAGGTTTCTGCCCTTTACCCTTTCTGATAGAGTAGTGATCTCTTTTTTCTTCTTTTCTTTTTTTTTTTAATCATTGGATGAAATTCACTAATATTTCTTTTTTGTTAGCAGATGCTGAAACTCTCTCTCCAGAACTTGTATTGGAGGAGGAGACTCACGAGGCAGAGGAGGCTGGATCATTTTCACCTGAATTATTGCATGGTGATGAAAATGAAGAAGCAATTGATCCTGAAGAGGATAGGGCTATCCTGGTAATTTTTATAACAGATTTATATGCTTATTAATGAGAATGCCAATTATAAACTTGTTTCTTGGTTTAACTGGGAGGTTTTATATTTTGACAAATTAACAGGAAAGGAAACGAGCGGCTGTTGTAGAGGAACAACAAAGACGAATTCAAGAAGCTATGGCATCAAAGCCCCCTCCTTCAGAAGATAACTTGGAGCTGAAGGCCATGAAAGCTATGGGAGCCATGGAGGAAGGTGATGCAGTATTTGGCTCTGGTGCTGAAGTGAATCTAGATTCACAGGTGTGTTACTTTGGCTATTTGAGCTCCCTTTAGACTGAGGAAACAAAAAAGAATGGCAGCTTGCCTTGCTAACTCCTTTTCAAAATCATTTTAAGCTTTTTCTAAGAAATTGATGTGGATACCAGGTATATTGGTGGCATGACAAGTACCGACCAAGAAAGCCCAAGTATTTCAATCGTGTTCACACTGGATATGAGTGGAACAAATACAACCAGACTCACTATGATCATGACAACCCTCCTCCTAAGATTGTGCAAGGATACAAATTCAATATCTTTTACCCAGACCTTGTTGACAAGATAAAGGCTCCAACTTATTCCATCGAGAATGACGGGGACAATTCTGAGACTTGCATCATCAGGTTCCATGCAGGGCCACCTTATGAAGATATAGTAAGTTCTCTCCATCCGTCTGAAAGTTTCCCCTGGATTTTGATGTGGATCTGTAGCTCACCAGCCGTTTTATTGTATGACAGGCATTCAAGATCGTAAATAAAGAATGGGAATATTCTCATAAGAAGGGGTTCAAGTGCACATTTGAACGTGGAATTTTGCATGTTTACTTCAACTTCAAACGCTACCGCTACCGTCGATGATGTGTTGCTAATGTTGCTATTTGGTCGCTTGCTTCAACTTCAGCAGCCACCGCTACCATCGATGATATGTATTTGAAAGAGCTGGTTGTAGTTTTTAATCTTTTTTATTTTTGTATAGTTAATTCAAATGAAATAGCTAAATTTTATATTTTGGTTATCTTCACCGAGGACAAGATCCAGCTTCCTCCCATGCCATGCCTTTCAAAACCTTGTCCTTCTCTGCTCTCCCAACTTTCGCTCGGTATTTGATCAAGGGGCTGCTCATCATAATCATGACTGCCAAGGTGGAGATCAAGATGGACAATTCATGAATTTGCTAGTGAGACTTGATTCACGGTAATTGATTGTTGTCCTATAATTTTGACCCTTTTGTTTTTAGCATTGATATTTTAATCTTAACCTTGGCTCACTATCGGCTCCGATGTTTTCTATTTTCTTCTTTTCAAGTTAGTTACTTCAAAGAAACTTAGCCTTACTACGTGCACCATACGTAGTAGAGGCCAAATTAGGGGGGCTGGCAGGGCTGGGGTCCGTTGCAAGCAAAAATCTATTTTCAGCATTCCCCTTTCAATAAATTAGACATTTAGCATTAAAAATAAAAATAAAAAAATTAAAATTTTATCTCTTAATAAATTTTTTTCTTTAATTTGGCCCAGCTGAACTAAAATTTATAGCTCCGCGGCCTCCGCCCCTACCCATGGAATAGGGATGGATATAAATAAATTAGTGCATGTTAATTAACTACTCTTATGGGTTATTTTATTTCTTTGAGCCTAGGGGATTTTCATTCAATTAGGTAGGGTATCCTTATAGGTCATTTATATTTCTTTGTAGTAATATAATCAACATTTATGGTACCATTGTTTATATATGGTCTCACTGTTTTTAATATATCTGGATTTACCATTTTAATATTTATTATGCATTGTTCCAATAGTGGAAATGGCATCACATTGAATTAAGACGTGGTATTAGTTTACAACAACACTTTGAGGAATAAAATAAATTATAGTGTATTCTATGATAATCTCTCTCTCATTGAGCTTGTATCAACACGTCTAGTAATAGGAGGGCAGTTGGCTGGCTATTAAGAGACGGACCACCATATCAAGTTTCAGCGTTTAATTAAAACTTGTATCATAGAAGCTTTCACAATATGAGGGAAGGTCCTCAGAAACACAAAATGGCCCCTTAAAATGCATATCCCAATGGTAGCTATAGCTTTAGTTCAAAAGTTGATACACTACTGCAATCAAAAGGTCTGAAAAAACCGAGGACTCAACAGTAGAACATAACATTCTTCACGTTGGGGCTGATGGCTGGAAGTGGGCGGACAGGGGCAGCTTCCCTCCTCACAGGAGGTCCTGTGACGCAGCCTCCACCGCCACTATCTGATGCAATGTCCCCCTCTATGTAGTATCTTGCCCTGAATGCAGCCAAGTGTGCATAGTATGCAGGAGGAACTGCACATTCAGCATGACATACTTTCAGAAACAAACGGATATGTTGGACAAAAGACATAATGTTTGAATGTTAAGGGGTTAGATACGAACCCACAGAAACAGAGCGGGTGCACCTTGCATACCTATGGCAGGTGAAAAATAAAAATAAATTAAACTGCTGCTTTAATATAATAGAAAATGCACATAACTTTATTCAACAGAGGTTCCAAGTGTTTAAAACCTTTGTTATTATAACAATGTGGAGAGGATAGAAAATCGTACGTGTAGCACAGGCTGTTAGTCAACATCTGCAGGCAATCAGCAGTGAATTTGTTCATGTCACACAACACATGGTAATGCACTGGCCTGCTAGTCCCCTGAGTCAAGTGAAATCATGGTTGCATTCAATCTTTTAGAAAAAGCTAATGATAATTTACATTCAAAGCTACCTGAATTCCTGGATGACTGCAGAGATAGAAGTCGTGCTCTGAAGGATGGCATATCTTTGTATCAACAACCGTTCCTAACAATAGAAAAGATTTTAGAGAAAACTTGAGAAGGTTCAAATCACATCAGTGGCAAAACTCATTTTAGTGGACCTTGTTTCATTCCCCAAATTATGTAGTAACATTTAGACTTGTCCTCTAGGACTTAGGTTCTCCAGTGAATCGAAAAGAATTTCCAATCCCACAAACAAAACAGGGCAATCATCATACGAACCAGGAAGGATGTTTCCGCTCTTGTCTGTTTGGTTACGATTTGCAGCAAACAGCCGAGTATGGTGTCTCTTCTGCACTACAATAAAAGTAACTGGTGGCAAATAGTTTGGTTCCAGAGATGCACAAGCCTGATGAGAGCAGAAGCAGAAAATTAGAGACCTCTTTGCAAGAATTGTCGCTTACATTAAAAAAATAAAATTGAACCTGGAACAAATCCTTCTCACCTTTCGGATAGCATCCATCTCATACAGGAGAACTTGGCTGAACTGGCCCTCACTAACACCATCCCTTTCATATGTTGAGAAAACTAGATTAGCAACTTGAAAAACAGATCTGCTCTTTATCTCCTAGAATTTGGACAACCATATACCTATAGAAAATTATTCTGCTAGGTTTCTGATCAGTTGTTCTTCTGAAAGCAATCATAAGTTCCCTGGAAACATCAATAAAAAGGAGAAATTATAAAACAGATGCCTCGGATGTAAGAACTTCTCAATTATAACATGTTCAGTTCTTACCTGATCATTCCAGCACAATCTTGAATAATCTCTTGACGATGTTTCTGAGCAGATACCAGGCCCCTGTAGGTGGTTACTTCAGGCCAGTCCATTGATGCCACAATCTATAAGTTGATGACTTTATAAGTGAAAATCAAAAAACCTTCATTGCATGCAAGAAGTGAAACAAATAAGACGAAGAAACATGTTTTTGCCTACCGCAGCTATCGAAGGGCTAGAATCCTCCCCTGGTTGTGGATGGGTTACATCAGCACCAAAGATTATAGTTGGGATGTCACTTAGAAGAGGTATTTTCCTATTCAGGGCATCCTCTAATACTGTGTTTCGCCCTCCAGCCTATTGACGCAATTGATTAATAAGTAGAGAGTTGAACTTGCCAGAGTTATTCAGAATATTAAACTGAGATTGTGACGGGTCAAACCTTCACATTAATTTTCAGCGCAACATTTTCCAAGTATTGAGGACTGCACTTTCTTGCTTGCTTGGGTTGACAGCATTGAGAAACTATCCCAAGTTCAGTTTCGCATACTCTTTTTATTGTGCCTTTGAAGCATGGAAGTAAAAGTGCATGGTCAGTAGAGAACGAATTATCTTCACCATTTCAGATGAGTGTTAAGTTTATTACCATAACTTCCACTGACATCAGGGAGAATGATAATTAAGATTTGAAGCTGTTTTCTTTCATTATTACACATGCTGTGAACTTCGGCCAATGTTTTCTCCAGCTGGTTAGGATGGCCAGACCGTATTGGGAATACAGGTGCAGGATTTATGACCTGAAAAGTACAAACACCCTTTTAGTGACTTTTCAAAGTAACCGGTAAGTACATTAAGGAACGATGCTCACCATCCCCTTGTTGTTGCACATGCCTACCAGGGCTCGACAAAAGCTAGCAGCCATTTGCTCACCAAGACTTGAGAAGTTGACACACATCCAAAAGTTCACTGTGGCCCCATTGAACAATTTCTGCATGGAAATAATAAAAGATGATCACGAGATGATCCACTCTAAAACGCCAGAAATGCAAACTAGAAAACGTAAATAAAAGTAGGACAGCTGAAATGTTATTATACTATTAATTATTTTCCATCATGTCCCGAAAGTGGGAATATAAATTCATTACTTACAGCATTAATCATGTTCCACTGCCCCATTAGGGGTCTTACAGTTCTAGCTTTTCCCAAATCATGGTACTTGAGCTGAGGAATCAAATCCAGAATGTGAAATGTTTAAGGCCAGTTTGAGGGATCATAAAACGTATTGGAAATAGAGGCAAGACGTATAATTACCACCGGAGGTGGCAAGACTCTGGCATCGATGCAAGTCAGCTCCTTTCTGACCCTGACTCCAAATTCTTCGGCTAGATCATCTTGTGCAACGTCATTAAAATGAACAATCTATTGCCAACATATGACTTGGATCATCATACCGTAAAAGGAAAGTTTTTGAAACTTCCACACTGCTCTACAACTAGGATTAAATCAGCTAGAAGAAACAGAAACTAGAAGTGGGAGTGACAATCACAATCACCTGCTCAATACTACGTTCTCTATCAACAGGGCGCCCGCAGGCCTCTCTCAATAAGGCTGTCACCTGCTTCTCATTCAACTTCTTCGAGTACCTTTGTCCTTCGATAATCTTGCAACACTGTATTGAAACAAGTAAACGGTGAGTATAGAGATAAAAAATTGTAAGTCTTATCCTAGAGTGTGAAGGCGTAGACAGAGAGAGATGTAATAATATGTCAAACATAAGTGGTAATGATAACCAAGGTAATATATAACAAACCTCCATAGGCAGGAATATTGGTCTTGAATCATTTCCTGATTGAAGAGCAGGCCAGGATGCGAAACGAAGCCTTATATTGTATTTTTCCAGGAAGTATTGGACAACTGATTTTTGTTTTCCATCTTCAGCAGCGAACCTGGAATGAATTAAGAATCCAGTCAATATGCGAGGTTCTTTAGCCAAACAAAACGTTCATCAGCAGAAAAAGGGAACGAAAGACGGTAGAATGAAGATGGCTACTAAACGAAATAGAGTGGAAATAATGTTGCATTACAAACTGAGAAAAACTTCGCTAAAGATAACCTTACCTTAGTTGGTTTGTTGCTGAAGGAGATATTCCAGTGATTTTGTAACGCTTCTCCTCTCCATGGGTAACTTTTACTCTGACTCCTCTCAAAGCTTTTTTCAACTGAAAGAAGTGAATCAAGAAAGGTTTTTGTGCCACGTCTAAAGAAATTCAAGTACATATGCAGCACATCTAGGAAAGGGATATGCAGAGATTAATAGAAAAACTGTATTGGAGCGGTCTGAACTTTTATTCGGTCCATGTCTTTTAGAATACTCATTTACCACACGGTCATTTAACCACCTTAAATGAATGCCGCTAACCATGCAACGCCGGGGTAGGGGGGGGGGGGGGAC